ATGCTGTTGATCATGGTTGCTCTAGTTCTGCTGCACCAATCTAAATAGAATGAGGTGCTCTGGAAGACACATTGTCTAGCCACCAGTTGTAAGTTTTTACCCTGGCTTGGTTCATATTTAGACGAGATGGTGAGTGAAATGTTACTTTAATTGGATCTCGATTTCATTTGATCTTGTTTATTTTCAGGTCAAAATTAATTACCCACAACTCAGTTTCCATCCAGAAATTTTCTTTGCCTGGGGATCCCCCATTGGGATGTTTCTGACTGTTCGGGGATTGAAGAGGATCGACCCCAAGTACCAATTCCCCACATGTAAACGGTTCTTCAATATCTACCATCCGGTATGTATAACAGCTGTGCCATCAACCAATCACAGCTAACCTTTAGGACCTATATGCATGTCAGCGCTGCGTGTTGTTGTGCTAAAGAACATTCATTAATGTGTATTGCATTAAGGCAGCCCATTTATTTTCAATGGACCACCGAGGCACCACAACACAGTCGAAAGCGAACATGACTCATTTTTTTAATGCAACATATTCAATAACATGTGGCGGTGCATTTCCTGCTATTCTATTGGTGCTCCGATGTGCCAGTCAGTATGAATGTCGCCACACCAGACCGCAGTATGCTGGTTGCCGTGCCATGCTTTACCGCATGTAACTACAACGCGTGCAAATAGGCTCTTAGAATAAAGACTTCATGTAGAAGGGTTTAGGGCACGGGTAGTCAAACGTCGGCCCTCCAGCTGTGGAGAAACTACAAATCCCATGAGGCTTTGCAAGACTGACAGCCACAAGCATGACTTCCAGAGGCAGAAGCATGATGGGTTTTGTAGTCAGGGTATTTTTCTCATAAGACTGTCTCTATAAAAGGATATGACAAGCAATGTAGCGTCTGTGTCCCTCCAAGGAGCTGTTCACCAAATGTATGATATAATCAGAAAAGCAAGGTGAAAGTATCCCATGTCATCCAATCAGGATTACCCTTTCACTTAGCTGACAGTAGTACTGACATCCTATCCCAATCAAATTTCCCCATAAGGTTCAAATACTGTACAGTACTGTATGTGCTAAAAAGCACACAAAAAGCTTTGCAGCAAGTGTGCACAGGTCTGTCTGCGATCTCGACTAGAGGAAGCCACGACAACGCGTCAGAGCGGGGAAGATGGCTGTGGGTGTGTTTGTCACCTGATTTGGAGTTAGCGAACGGAACTAAACTTTTGCAGAACTTCCTGTTTGCGAAGGGAAGCGAGGTATTACTGTACCACCGTAGTAAAACTCTCATTTATGTTCTTTTTTTCCTACACTGTTCATAGTTTGATCCAGTTGCATACAGGATAGAGCCAATGGTGCTCAGGGATGTGGATTTTGAGCCTATGCTGATTCCCCATCATAAGGGCCGCAAAAGGATGCATTTAGGTAACTTTCCTTCCTTCCTTTATTTTTCTTTTACCTTCATCTTTCTTCTTTCTTTCCTCACTTTCTTCTTTTTCTTTCTTAATTTCTTCCATCCTCTTTATCTTCTCCATCTTTCTTCCTTCCTACTGGATCCTTCATCCTTCATCCGTTCTTTTTCCTCCTTGTTTTTTCTTCCCTTCCTTCCTTCCCTCGCTTCCCTTCCTTCCTTCATCTTTCTTACTTCTTTCCTCACTTTTTTTCTTCAATCCATATTTTCTGTCTTTTTTTACTTCTTTTTTCTTTCCCTTCCCTTTTTTTTTACCTTCATCTTTCCGTTCTCGTTCTGTCGTCCTTTCTCAAGTAGAGTAGCCATGGACATGTGCATGCATGTAGACCAGCTTATAAACAGTGTATAATTGAAGGTGCTCCTGAGGTAGGTAGAAATATTGGCGCGTATCGGCGCAGGCCCAGGGGAAACCTGAGGGGCCAAACGACGGTACCGTCCACATGTCAGCAAACTGTCGGTTAACCCGTTACCACATGGAAATACCACAAAAAGGAAGGGAGAGGGGAGAGGGAATCGGATTTCAGAGAAGAAAGGGAAAGCAGGAACCAGTACTGAAAGAGAGAAAGAGGAAGAAAAAAATATATGGAGAGGGGGAAGTGGGGCAGGGAGGGGAAAGGGAGTGGAGAGGGGGAGAAGGAAGGCGGGAGAGGGAGGATGAGCAACAGTGGGTTATGTTCCGAACCTAGTTTCTCTTTTTTATTTCCTCCCTCCTTCCTCCTTTTTTTTTCTCCTACCATCTTTTTTTTTTCTCCCATCCTTTCCTCGCCTTTTTTTTTCTTTTGTTCCTTCTTCTCTTTTATTTCTTCCATCTTTTTTCCTTCGTTCCTTATTCTTTGTTCCTCTCTCTAATTTTTCTTTCCTATCGTTCTTCTTTCCTTCATCCCTTTAGTTTCCTCCTTCCTTATGCAACATACATTGTAAGTTCACATACGTATTTGTCATTTCAACTGGCTTTTTTTTCCATCCAGAACTGAGGGAAGGACTCACCCGGATGGGCACAGACATCCTGGGGTCACTGCGAGTAGCCTGGCAAACCTTCACCCGCCCCCCTGTGCCTTCTTTACCACCTCCTACTGCTGAGGCTGCATCACTGTGTGTTTCTGAAACCTCACTGCTTGAGGACAAAGCTGGTAATTCATGTGTATAACGTATTTACAGGAGGAAGCCTCATTCCATATACACCTTGTACTTTACCTTTTTAGTTGTAGCACCCCATTAGGGGCAGCCAGTTGCTCTATTTGGTGTATAGACATGTTGGGAAAACCTATAGAAAAGGGAAGGATTAGCCCAGATCATTAGCACATTTCCCAGCAAATAACTGTATCAAAATACTTCAAAATAATGGATATTAAAAAAGCGATGTGCATGTATGGGGCATTTCTGTGTATAGTAACATGAAGGGATAACTCCTGCCATATATTTTGGCTTTTACCGGTTCAGGAGCTGCGGTTACATATTTTATCTGCAGCGCCACCTGCTGGAACCTGGTTTTATGGTTCATTTGCAAATGTATTAATTACCCTACAAGTCCTAGTGACCTGGAATATCTCAATGTTATAACCTAGGCCCGGTCTCGAAAGAGATTTGTGTTTTTCCTATGCCATTTAAATCAAATATTAAAGGGCCTGTCCCCATCTATGATTCAGACTGTTATGACTGAAACATGGTAGCCATACTAGAAACCACAGAATAACTGCACTCCGCAAGATACAAGCAATGAATCCCATGTTTTATTGATGCAAAATCAAATCACAGCAATCCCCCCAGACCAAAGAGCAAACTCCTCTCGCATGTTTCACCAATGTGGCTTATTTATACAGGTGACCTCTATTAGGTATATTATGTACAGGATCTTCCCTTGGAGCATTGCTCTGCCCCCCCTCCCTCCCCGATAGACCAAGTCTCCCATGTTTACTAGTGTGTGGAAACTTGCCCACCTTTATAGAGAGGTGACTTCTGAGTAAAAATGTGCTGTATCAGAAACTTAACAAAACATCTATTTTTTGTCCTGTAAGAGAAACCAGAAGAATCTCCTGTGAAGGAAGAGCCGTTACACATTGACGTGGGGATGTTAAATGGAGGACAACGCTTTGACTACGTTCTCCAAGAGAAGCCGATCGAGAGTTTCAATGAGTATCTGTTTGCACTTCAGAGTCACCTGTGTTACTGGTAATTGATCACACTGTGTATTCTGTTCACAGTAATGATAAATGTCAGGGTTAACGACCCATTAATTGCTCCACAACCCACACTGGGCATATTACACCAGAGTGCAATTCCCAACCCACACGGGGCATATTACACCAGAGCTCAATTCCCAACCCACACGGGGCATATTACACCAGAGCTCAATTCCCAACCCACACGGGGCATATTACACCAGAGTGCAATTCCCAACCCACATGGGGCATATTACACCAGAGTGCAATTCCCATTCTGCAGACACTAGATCTAGACAGTACATTGGAGCATTAGTGTGTTGTTTGGAGTAATGAGGAGGGAGCGTGTTAAACACCAAACATAGTAAAATAAAGATCAAATAATGCCAGATTCTTATTATGCAGCCTGACTGGATGACAGGTAAAGCAAGAGAGGCTTTGATCTGCTTGACAAAAACAAAAATCAACAGCACTGTAGTTTGATTTTTCTCATGGCAGATCCCTTGCAGGAGAGGGAGCCTTGACTGCTGGAATCATACAGTAAGGACGTGGTCAGTAAAATGGACCCCTCCTGTATAAAGGTGTAATCCATTATTAATTGGGGGATAGCTTACAAAGGCGGAGACAAGCAAAGTGTTAAAAGTGGGCTTACTGGCTTCTTGGGAGCCAACCAGCAGGCCGTGTTTAAAGGTGCCCATACACTGCACGATTCTCGTATGAGAATCGCGGGAAATCCCGCGATAGTACGATTATTCGTGGAGTGTATGGAAGGCGTGCGACCATTTCTACTGTACGGTCGCGCGACTTTTGTATTTCGAGCATTTTGGAAAACCAGCCGAGAATCGTACGATTTTCGGCTGGTTTTTAGCATGATCGAGAGATGACTGCCGAACGGGCCGGTGTGCGCACACTGCCCGTTCAGCATTGCAGTCATCGGAAGCCCGCTCCTCAGGGGAGCGGGCTTGCGATGATCGCAAGTACGATCTGCCTGTCCAAGATGGGCAGATCGTGCGTTTTTTTAATTACTTTACAACCCTCGCAAGACAAAAGTCTTGCGAGGTTTGTAAAGTGTATGGGCACCTAAACTATGATTCTCAGCAGTCATGATCCTCCTTAGAGAACGGCCCACTTCACATCATCAGACCTCTGGCTTATAGCTTTGGATAGCCTTAGGTCCCTTTCACACGGGCTGATTAGGAGGCGATCTGTGTGCGGTTCCCCCTCTTATCGAAGCGGTAAGGCTCGGATTTCACTGCTGTAACATCCGGCGCAAGATGGAGGAAAAAATTTAGAAAAAAACTGAAATGACTGGAAGCCGTGCCACTTTATGGGGAATGGGATGTAAATGGACATGTATCCCTTTTACATATGATTACCCCCAATCTGGCACGATCGGGTCCCGTAGAAGCAGAACACTATTCCGTTTGTTTTTCCGGACATGACCGGAGTTGGGTGTAACTGGGTCTAAACGGACACGCATCCTTTTACACAAGGCCGCCCATAGACTAGCATTGGGCATGCAATCGGGTCTGCCTGAAAAACTGACAGGCACAGGGTCTCATCAGGGGTCCAGTTGGTTCCGCCTGAAAAACAAAGGGTCTCACCAGGGGCTTGTGGGTGGGGGAACCACTGTAATCCGCGCTGCGTGGTTCCCCAGGAAGGACGAGGGAGACGTGCCGACCAGAGCTGTAAACAGTCGGCGCGATTCACAGGAAGGCTGCTACATCCCCAGGAAGTGTGGGACCTCAGACAGCCGCTTCCGTTTAGAAATGTAAAGTGCAGCTATCGACGTTAAGTATCGGGGCATTTTCACGAGTACTCAAGAAAATGCCCAGTATCGGCACTGCTATAGGTCTTGGTGCATACCTAAATTGATGGCCCTAAAATTATTGCTTTCACTCCAATGTTCACTGTGATATGTAGTGTGTGGCGCAGTCATTGTTTTCAAACCTGACGCTGTTTGAGTTTGCGTGTACATGGGGCGGGGCGCTTTAAAAAACTTTTTGGGGGGTTTTGTTTTAACATATGACTTTTTTTTTTCTTTAGAAAACAAGGTTCCCTTTACGGAGACATTAGGGGTCTATTAGATCCCTAATGTCACCTATAGACCCCAAAGAAGCTGATGAAACACAGATCTGCTTCATCCAGCTTTTGTTTCAGCCACAGCAGCTGGAGAAATGGCAGACTGAAGCCTGACATTATATAATACATATCGCTTCATCAGCTTTCAGTGATTTTGGAGGGGAGATCAGACGCTGGAAGTTTGCTGATCGAGGCACACATATGTGCTGTGCTGGTCCTGGGCCTTCACGGGACAGCGGAGCCTAGGATAGGCAGAGGCAGGGGAGCACACACTCCTCAGCACCATACAAGCGATTGCGGGGCTCTATAGGCGCCCAAACCCTTGTATGTGACCGCCATAGTCGGCTGTAAAACATTATACCAAGATCAGCCGTGACATTGGTATAAACTCTGCAGATTATCGAAGATTATATACGTATTGCGGCCCTGAAGCAGTTAAGAACTGTCAACAACCACTGTGACGTCACTAGTCATATGGGCTCTCGGGAAATAAGGGGGTTTCAGGAGACTCGCAAGTTCGACTGCCTGTGCCATAGACGGAGCATTACATCGCCTTGACAAGGTGCTTAGGAGATCACGGCACAAATGGTGTGCCGGGATTGTAAGATGTATTGTGCATCTGCAAGTGACGCCACCGACATAAACCGTGATTTCTCATTCACGGCACAGCTTTGTAAGATTTAGAAAGGTCTCTACAAGGGGGTGTGTACAATACGCTTGCAGATGGGGGAAAGTACAAAGGTTGAAGCTATTAGAAAGGGGATTGCATATCTCTGTATCACTGACATCCCTCATTTCCTCCAGGACATCAGAAGACACAGCACTGCTATTCCTTAAAGAGATTTACCAGACGATGGAGGTCGGCATGGACCAGCCACTACAGTAATAAAACAACACGGGTCCAGTTGGCGCGGAAGGAGATAAATAAGTGCCTACAGGTGAGCTCAATCTGGCAATGACATTTAGGCCTCATTCACACTGCTAAAACTGCCCATACACCTTACAATTATCTGCAGATTCTCTGTGGTCAGATGGAAAAAGTGCAACAGATTGGCCCAGGGGGAGATTACTCCATCCACACAGCTAAGTGTAGATGGAGGAATCTGTTGCACCTTTTCCATCTGACCATAGAAAATCTGCAGATAATTGTAAGGTGTGTGGCCAGCTTAAGAGCCGGCCCGTACAAAAAAAGAGGCCATGCACGCACCCAAGCTGCACATCCGTGCGGGTGTCCATACTTGTACGCAAAAAGGATGGATCCAGTCTGCGTCCGAGCACGGACACCCGCACGGATGTGCAGTTCGGGTGAGCGTACGGCTGCGTGCTCTCATAGAAAAGAACAGGCTGCTGTGTACAATCACACGCAGCACCTGTCCTTCCCGGGAACGGCCCGATACGACCGTGCACGCCACACGGATCTGTACGGGCCGGCTCTTAGCTGTGTGAATGAGGCCTTATAGTATAACTCCAATTTACTAAAAAGAAAGCAGACATTGACATTAGGAACCAGAGGTCTTGCTGCACTCCTTACCGGAGAGAACCCAAACGGGTGGCTTCTTGTAGTGACCACGGAAAGGCACAGTGTATACCACAGAAGAAGTAATGCAAGTGCTTTCGGGGCCTCAGGGGGTCCCTCATTCTGAGCCTGATGAAGGGGACCCCCTGAGGCCCCGAAAGCACTTGCATTGAAATGCCATTAAAAATGGATTATTGATTTATTACTACGGTGTGCTGGTGACATTATTTTCTTCTTCTGTATTCCATTGACAATCGCAAATTTCTCTGCCATGGTGACTGATGGAACTTGTAGTTTTTGCATTCACAGATCCCATCAGGGGATCTGTTAATGGATGACGCAGCTGTGCGGGCAGTTTCAAAAGTTTACAGCAGCCTGGGGGAGAAGAACCCCACGATTCAGGTAAGTAGGGGAAGGGGGGATAGGGGATGTGACCATGTTTCAGGTTGCACCCTAAATACGGGTGTAACATGAAAGATTGTCTGAAATGTAAACTTATCCTTTAATGTTCCAAAATGGTGGCCCACACCTCGCTGACCTAATCTAACCATTCATTTATGTCCTTTCCTAGGTACATTTGGATGAAGCATCTTCCCCATTGTGAATTTACTGTTCTGAGAAGTCTGGGGCCATTACCCCTGAAAACTATGGCCAGCTGAACCTATGAGTACACCGTCACTGGCTACACACTCCGTTCTCTGCTGTGTACAGGAATATAGAACGACTCTCAGTATTCAGGGTTTATCCAAAACTATACCTTAGGGTTCTGCTTTATTATATTTGCTAAAGGATAACTCCACATACGGCCAGTCAGTGAAGCAGTGGGAGGTCCACTATATGTTACATTCACCTCTACTGATTTAAAGCTGACTCCTCCCCTCCAACCTGAAAATCATAAGAGCATGCTGAACCGAACGCACATTCCAGTCATACATCAAATGGACATTATTTGTGTGAACTTACACTTAAATTATTTCACTTCCTGCTTTTCTGGAGGGACTGGAAACATAACCAGTGCCTCCCAGCATCCCCCAGTGTTTTCCAGGCGCCTCTTGCGTGAGATCTCAGGGGGAGGTCTTTTATTTTCTCTGCACTGATGATGTGTATTGTTATGTATAGGGATATACCGATACTAGTATCAATGCCGATACCGAACATTTGGCCGATACCTTTCACCGATACCGGAACCTCCAGTCAGAGGGGGATCTCCCTCTGACCGGCAGTGCCGAGGGAGCATGGAGGCGGCTTCCTTTCCAATCAGGAAGGCGGGCGGTGGGTTATGACCCGCCTCCCGCTTCCTGATTTGCTAGGAAGCCGGCTTCACTTGTTGTTAGGCAGCCTGGCCTTCTAACCAATCAGAAAGCAGGGCGGCACGTCATGACCAGTATTGGTGCATCCCTAATTATGTGTCCAAGGAGGCAGGTACGGGGCTATGAATGAGTTGTTGAAATCCTGCAAGATTTGGCTAATTCATTCATAGATCTGTCTATTCGTCCTGCTCGCATAACAGACGTCATCGGAGTGCCGGCCCAGAGAATGCCGAATAATAAACTGGCCACTGGTGACGCCAACTTTTAAAATGGTTTCTGGTTTCCATGAGGAACTGGAACAGACCATTAGAATATGGTAAGACTATATGATAGAATCGAGGCAAGCAATAATAAATAGGTGTCAGTATTTTGCAATATTCATTTCATTAATGGTGGCTGATTCATAGAAGGGGGAGTGGGGGGGAAGGTTTGCTTAAAGTCTCAGTAATGAGCACTATTGATGCGCTTCCTCCTCTGGGTGGAAGGGAGGAAGTATAAAGGAAAAAGATGAACCTTTTCTAGCATGACCCCAAGTAATGTGAGTGCTTTGGCAGGGTTGCTCAGTGCTCCGGGATTCCCTTCACATGGGGAAGGACATAAGTCAGCCACATCTAAGCTGAATGTTCTAAGGTTCACTGGAGCTATGTATGGGGAAAAAACATAGGACTTGATGTAACAGAATTCTATTCACAGGGGTCTTCCTTGGCGGCACGCAGCGTACGTACCGTGAACAGCTTTGCCGCACACTTTGTATGATTCAGTGCCGCTTCTGTACCTCGTGTGCACATCCATTGAAAGTAATGGATCTCGGTCGATCGAAAGTGACCTAAATCATAGAGGTGACAAGGGGTACGTAGGTGTGTCCAAAAAAGGGAAATAGGCAGAAACTATGGTCAATGTGCATTTACTGCTTTTTTGCATTGAGGCCTGCAGAGTAGGGATGCACCGATTACCGTGTATTTGGGCAAGTACTCGTACTCGGCCAAATGCTTCGATGCCTATCCCAATACCCGAGCTTCTGGTTTCAGGAAGCCTGGCAGCGAGTCATAACACGGCGCACAGCTTCCTAATTGGCCAGGAAGCCGGCTCCATGTTCACTCGTCACTTGGTGATGAGGAAGCATGGAGCGGGCTTCCCGGGCCAATCAGGAAGCCGGGCAGTGTGTAATGATGCACTGCCCGGCTTCCTGATTGGTTAAGAAGCTGGCCAATCAGGAATCCAGGCGGCGAGTCATTGCACGGCACCCGGCTTCCTAATTGGCCAGAAAGCCGGCTCCATTCTACCTCGTCACCTGGTGAAGAGGAAAAGCGGAGACGGCTTCCCTGCTAATCGCGTAGGCAGGTGGCGAGTCATTACATGCCGCCTGGCTTCCTTAATGGGACTTCTGGTATTCAGTATCGGCGAGTTACCGAGAAAAAAATATCGGTACTCGATACCGGAAAAACGTTACCGGTGCATTGCACCCAGGATCAGTGTCCGGGTCTGCATTGTTTAGCCCCCCCCCCAGCCCCAGGTTTGTACAGAGGTATGGATCTTTTGTTATGTGGCTGGAGGAAGTGTGGCAGGACTACAAGTGTGGTGACCTCACTGCTGCTGGTGTGCTCTGGTGCATGAGCAGATGGAGACTGGGTAATATCTGCCATTGATGCCATTGGACCTTGATGACGCGGCTGTGAAGTGTGTACATTTACGTGTAATGCATTTTGGTGCTTTTAAAAAAAAAATGTTTTTTTTAATCCTTGCTGTACCTCCTGGCCGTATGTACTTAGTCCTGAGCCCTCGTTAGGCCATTTACTTACATTATATCTGACAGTTCTAGTTCAGTGACCTCAAGCCAGAGACCATTCTGTACACTGCGAGCGTAGGGCCATAAAAAGACAATGTAGCCTATGGAGTCTAAAAGGGGGCAGTCAGTAGCTTGTTTGCTGGCGTGGGATCATATTGCATGCAGCCTGTTCGTTTTTGAGTTTGCTTCTGTCGAAACTCACTTCCGCAATCTGCGTCACCTTGCCAGTGAAAACACCATTTTTTGGGGGTTTTGGCCGGGAACCCCGCGCTCCCCGGACAGTACACTGCCACTTCCGTATAAGATACGGTAAAAATAAAAAAGTAACACAGTAACCAGCTGTGACCATGAACAGACGTTTGTGTTCACCTGCATTCTATTTATTAAATACATTTTATTTTTAAGCACCTGCTGGTTTGTTTTTGTTTTGTTTCCTCTTTTTCAAACACATGATTAGGGCCTGTGGACATAATGACGAAGCATATGGGCCCCATTCATAAAACAGCTGTGACTTACAATAGTCGTTCCCGCCAGTCATTCAAGCCAACTGTCACTGTATCGGCCAACTGTCATTTCCAGTTTCCCAGCTACCGCAGCAGTGACAGTTGGGACTTGTGGAATCTGCCATTGATGATGGATCCTGGACCATCCAGCATCTGCCATTGATGACTCCTTCACAGCTGTGCTAAATACACCTTTTAGAAGGTGTACCCTATGGTTTAGGTAATGGGGGTGGTCAGGGGAATGCTGTATGCAGCCATGCTATATGTCGGATCCTAAATATGAATTTAGCATGGAACATGGACTAAACCTTGAAAAGAAAAGTATGGGGTAACCTTTTTATCCCATAGTTCTCTTTTGGGTCACGGGAGGACATATACTAACCTCCTCACCTGGTGACGAGGGAGCATGGAGCCGGCTTAACGGCAAATCAGGAAGCCGGGCGCCATGTAATGGCTTGCCACCTGGCTTCCTGATTGGTCAAGAAGCTGGCCAATCAGGAAGCAACGGCGGTGAGTCATTACTCGCCCCCGCCTTCCTGATGGGCCAGAAAGCCGGCTCCATGTCACCTGGTGATGAGGAAGCATGGAGACAGCTTCCCTGCTATTCGGGAAGCCGGATGGCGAGTCATTACACGCCGCCTGGCTTCCTTAGTGGGACCTTCGGTATCGGCGAGTACCGGGAAAAAATATCGGCACTCAATACCGGTTATCGGTGCATCACTACTGACTTATTAGACACAGGGGCGACACCGGCCCTCCAGCTGTTGGCCCTCCAGATGATGCATGTTGAGATTTGGAGAGCCGGAGTT